AAGAAGCATTGTTAGGTGGTTGTTGTCCCAACCAGTCATCCTCTTTCATATACTTAGTCTTCAGGACTTTGCTTACTAACAAATTTGGATTGGTAACAATTCTCCAAATTTGTTTTGCAAGCAGGGCCATATTGGAGGCTTCCAGGTCTCTAAAACCCATCCCCCCTTTCCCTTTGACCTCTGAAAGTTTACTCCACCTAATCCAATGTACTTTTTTTTTCAGATTCCCCACCACCCCACCAGTACCTAGCGATTCTAGCACTAATGGCTTTGCACAAACCTTTGGGTATTTTAAAGCAGGACATAATGTATGTAGGCATTGCCATAATGACTGATTTGATCAAAACCTCTTTACCCCCTTGGCTAAGCAACTTTTGTTTCCATTCTTGAAGTTTACTACTAATGTTACTCATCAAATATCCAAAAACCTGGTTTTTAGCTCTCCCAATGGTCATCGGAAGACCTAGATATTTACCACTATGAGCTTCCCTCATATTGTCCAACACCTCACTAATTTCCCCTCTAAGCATCATGGGAGTATTTCTAGTAAAAAACATGGCAGATTTGTCAAAATTTACCACCTGTCAAAATTCAAAAGACTCAAAACTAACTTGCTAGCTAAAAGGATAAAGCTTGGGTACTAACCAGTCATGGTATGATACTTCATTCATCAATTTACATTCTCTTGGCAGATTGGGACATTCACCAATTTACATTCTCTTGGTTGATGAAGATTAGTCTGCTCTATGGCTTTTGGAATACAAAATGATTGTTATTTTATAATATTTTAATATTTTATTGTTTTGGACTATTACTTGTTAATCCACTTTGTTTCCTTTTTATATGCTTATGCTCTACGTTCTCGAAATTTTGTGGTGTTTCATTACTAATTTTCACTTAAAAAGTTAATTTATGACTAGTAGTGTAGAAAAAAATTACTACATTTTCAGTATATAAAAAATAATCCAAAATTAAATGAGCAAAACGAGTTAAGACACGATACTGACATATTACCAAACAAATAGAATATGACAAGACCATGACATAAAATTTAAATGTGGAATTTATGAGTTTATATATATTTTGACATGCACAAGAAAATGACACAACACGACATGTTTATAGCCCTACAACCATTAATCCAACAAAGTAATGATTTATTTGATCGCTGTAATGTAATCTCAAATTGCTAAAATAGATGCATCATTAACCTTATCAAATCCTATTCTCACTAAAATAAAATCAATTTAAAAATAAAAAACAGACCATAAAAAAATTACCACGCTCCTAACTAAAATGTATTATACATTAATAATAATCACAAAAAAAAAAGAAACAAAAAAGCGACAATACCAGGACCCTCCACAGGCAAAGCGTGACCTCACAAAACTTTAAGAGAAGATGACGCATGAGACTAACTGTACGGAAAAAAAATATTATTCTTTCTTAAGTACTGATTCCTGCTGGGCTTGCCCCTGTGGGGGTTTCTTTCCCATATCGGTACTGGGGGGGTTTAGGGATGGGTAGATAAGTCCCTCGGGTGCCTTCAAATGTTACCGGCCGGCTTTTGAAGGTTGCTCGAGGATTAGGTTTCTTTATGCATTCTTGAGTTCGCTTAAGAAAATGAGAGAAAAAGTACTGATTCCTGAATTTTGGGTTCCTGCTTTTAGTTTATGACGCTCAGGTTGCACATAAACTGTTTGTCACAAGTTCAAAAAAGAAAAGAAACTAGAATATAGGAAAAAGAACACATTCAGTAACGCAAGATAATTCATCGAAGATGAACAGTTTACCCAAGGTAATGGATTATACATTTTTCAGTCATACAATTTTGGTAGAAAGTTACCGACCGAAACATTCCAAGGCAAATAGAAGTTGTCAACACTTTAACAGGCTTTGAAGCTCATTCAAGTTGGAAGCAGTAGAATTGAGTAATTGTTAACTTTGCTTTTGAACTTTCGCGGACACAGCAGAAAACTGCACTTGGAACACCCATTTGTCTAATCAAGGCGAGGAGTTTTAACAGAGCCTACACAATTTCCCAATCCATGTCGACACTATGATCTTCAGCATCAGGACATCTGTTCTTCAGCTGGCGATCAAACTGCATCTCAGCACGAGTGTCCCTGAGCTGATTAGGTTGAGTCCCATCAAATTCATCAGGCAAATCATCCAGCATACTGGTAATGTCACTGTAGCCTTTCATGACACTAGAAAAATCATGGTAACAGTCATGCTTATCTTCCATTAGATAATTGGAAACAGAAGGTTCGACATTGATTTCCCTGATACGGCCAACATCTAGTTCCATGCTAATATGGCCATGCTCTCGAGCTATTGCTTTGTGCTTGACAGTCCAATCAGGGCGACTCCATAAATATAATGGTGGTGTCTCCGCGTTCCACTGCTCCATTTGCTGAGCAAGCACATCCACTGACCCAGGCAGATAAAAGGACTGATAAAAAATTATTTGAGTAAGTGATTTACTTCATCCTCAAATTAGATCAATATCTGGGGGTTGGCAGGCAGTGAAGGGGAGAGCGAGAAGATGCTAATTGCTAATTTTCTTACCTTCCCAGAAAGTAATTTGTCATCTTCCCAAATCAAATCATATGGCAACTTTCCCCTGTCAAGTCTGTAGTTGCCAGAAGGAAAATAATAACAATAATAATGAGCAGGTAAATCATACTTTCTGGAATTTCTGAAGTACAAAGTTTATCTTATAGCTTCTTTAAGTACAAATTTTACCTTTTAGTTTCTTTAGGAACAATGAGAATCATGAGCTTTGGACTGAATGTCAGAGCTTTTGAAATGAACGTATTAGCCAGAGATGCATGGACGCCAAAAGGAGGATTCAGCCCCATGATCTGTTCAAGATGAATAGTGAGGATCTTCAAATATAACTCTACAACATAGACAAAGTCACAGAAAGCCACCTATTTCGCAACTTACAAGATTTGATCCAGCAGGTAATTCATCTTGACAAATACTCATCCAATTCCTTTTCTCAAAACTGAAAGCATTCTGAAGAACAGTAGCAAAGCATTAAAAGGAGAAAACTAGACATTAAAAATCATTGCTCATGAGTGGCAATAAACGCAATCTTTATCAGATCAAAAGATGTGGGATGAAAACCAAAACATTAGCAATGACCTTGAACATGATCATGAACTGATAGCCTAAACAGTTTTAGGTTTATTACTTTCAGCTATGGCCTTATATATACTTAAAAATGATCCACACATGGAACGTAAAACAATTGGGCCAGGACATGCTTCTTCACTTTAAGTTGCTACTACCTTAGAAAGACTGTAGGAGAGATGCGAATATCATGAATTTCCAGTAATATACTTTTTTCTAATGTCTGCCTAAGAAGCAAATTGACTATGCATGTCCCCAGTAGTTTCTTGTTAGGTTTGCAGTAAACTTAGGGAAAAAGGAAGGGTTGTTATATGAAGATGCATGCATTACCTCTTTTCCCCAAATATTAAAGCTCTAGCTGCACTGAAGGAGAAAATTAATGATACTCAGGTTAACCAAGTTAGTCTTTGCGGTGAAACAAGCCTTATGTCCCATCCACATTTTCTAAAGTTATGGAAGATGATTTCTTTTCAATGCCTAAACCTAAGCAAAAGAAACTTTCCCTTTCAGCACTTCCTTTTTCCTATCTCAATATTACAAGATACAATATAAAAGAAAAAAAAAACAACGGAAAGATAAGTATCATCCCATAGGAGAACAATAAATTATAACAGCACATAAAATAAGAAGATCCCTCACTAGAAAAACAAAGCAAAAGCTAATCCTGGCTACTGATTCTTCTTCAATTAAAGATTTTATCCTCAGCATGGATTCTAATGCCTGTCTTTGAACAAAAAAATAGAGATGTATATGTCGGATCTAACCTAATGTACAAGACACATGAAGCAACAATCCAAACTGTCGAAGATATTATCTCCCATGATTATGAGAGATATTATCTCCCATGATTATGGGATTTTATTGCTTATGTCAATCAAGTTTGAATAGATTAACTAAAATAAAAGATAGGATATGAGTTGGTTACGTAATCCCTAAAATCATGGTTCTATTACCTTAACTTGTGGCAGAACTGTGATAGGGTTGTCCTATAAATGCGTACCTTGTAAGCATATTCGGTGTGTGGGAAAATAAAGAAAAGCAGAGTTTTGTTTATTTCCTTTTCTTTTTTAAAGTTTACACAAACTTACCATGGAATTAAAAGCAGCTTGCACAGGAATATTGGTATTTTGCCCGACAACCTTGTTCTATTCAATACCTTCCAGAAAATATTTATATTGCTTTCCAAGCAGCACGAAGAAAAAAGAGCAAACCCAGCAATGACATTGGTCGATAGGAGACATGCCTCACTAGCACTGACCTTTATAAAATAAACAAAGCATTCTTATTCAAAACCCACCATCTTAAGCAATTGACTTGTTTATTGAAAGAAGTGTTAATCGTCTGTGATTGTTCGACCCATGGAAAGGATACCTTTTGAATCCCTCTGAACCTACTTTACACCAAAGAGCAATGAACTGCATCTCTAATGCATTGAATCTTGGACGATTGTAACAGATCTGACAGATTGTCAGATCAACATTGTGACTCCTATTTGTATCACATATAACTACCCATCAAGCACATATTCAGAAGTGATTACCTGGTTTAGAGCATAAACTGATCACAAGCATCCTTCACCAAGAATCATGAATCATAATACAGGGGTTTGTCAGTCGAGGAAACTCTAAGTTTGACAATGGCAAGAACAAGGACTAGAGTAAAAAGAACCAAGGGATTTTAACTGCTAAGACAAATAAACCTTAAACTGTCTTGGAAAAAAAATTGAAAAAGAAACTTTCAATAAGATGCATCTTTCTGTTTCTCCCAAAGACACAAGTCATTCACCTTTTTCCCTAAACCTTCTTTCAGAACTTCAATGCTCAACTTTTAATATATCAACTAGTTTCACCCGATCTGTTGGAAGTCATACCTGAAAGTATTCTTCAAATATTTCAAGCCAATCAACAACAGCTCAACCATGGCTTTTTGCTAAGATCAGGTATGTCTACCCTAACTTTCTTTGCAAAATCTACTTGCTCAAATATATCTCTAAGCAGCACTTACTGCAGTAATAGATTATCCTGTATGGATATGCAAAGATCCCCCATTACTGAACATTGCTTGGTCTGAAATAATTTGATCTTTTAAAATCCTAAACAAATGCTGGACCAAGCTAGTAGAAGCTAAAGCTAAAAATCATTAATCTAACTTGGAAAGGCAATTTTGAACCTGTATGTACTTTGAACTTGGGCCACCAAGATCACTACTACCTTTAGATGGCCCAGTTCTCTTGGCCTATGAGAAGTTGCAAGCTTTTGTGTTCATTTCTGTTTCATGTCATAACTAGTTTTATTTTCTTTTAAACGAGGTTCAGAAGAATATCTATTACACCTTCTATAATTTCCTACTTTCTGTACCATACTCAGTGGTTATTATACTTACCCAGAGGCTATTTTCCTTTAGATCTCTTAGAAAATGTTCGGAAAATGTTCGGCAGAAGATTTTGAACTGTTTTTATTTTGCAAACCATGATAAACAGGGTTAGAATACGTGGCAGGTTGACATCAATGAAGCATTAAATGCACAATAAGCTATTCTCATAATGATTAAGCTAAATAAAGATACTTATGGTAGAGAGTTTACTTATTAACTCACATCAAAAGCAAATGGTAAAATCAAATTAACATAGATAAAGATTTGTTTGGTTTTTGACACAGAACAACGCAAGGAATAAAACTAGATGCAGTCACGAACATAATTCAAAGGTCCTTAGTCTTCAACTAAGGCAAGCTGTCATTATGTGAAGCAAAATCGAGAATTTGCATCTAGATTGTGTGAGCAAAAAGTGCCTCAAGCTACATTCTCAGAATGCAATGCCAAGAACATATGATGAAAACTGCACCTTGGGTTGTATAATATCATAGTTTTTGAAGGAGCACTTCCTGCCCAATTTGTCCAGAGCTTCTTTCATTAAACAACTGAAATCATTTGAGCCACAACAGAAGTCGACTATCTGCTCAACAGCGTTAATTTAATCAGATATGAAATCAAAAGAACATGAACAACCATAATACTACAGATGCCAAGGATACAAAAGACTCCCCCAGCAGTTTAATAATTTAACAAGGCAATCTCTCCAATTGCAGATTGTCAAGGCAATCCCAATGAAGATTAAACCAATCATTTCAAAGAAAACCATGACAGCCAAAATAAGTTCTTCCTGTTGCACATATCATCTAACTCACTATACTATTTAACTCAAGAAAGTACATGTTTCATAAAACCAGAAAGCACATAGTTGAAAACTTCCATTTTCATCCTGAATTCTTCCATCAGTCAGACAAATCTACTTCATTGTGCAGATATGTAGCGAATTTCAGTAAATGGTCAGAAATTTAAAACTTGAAGAGTGCCAAGCACATCAAAACACGAGGATTAGGAATGTGCAGAAAATGGTGATATTTTAGAAGTGAAGGCGGATGTATTATAACGAAAAGCTTCTGTACATTTATATTATACAGATGCATAAATCTTCTACATATCAACGGACAAAAATAATCAAAGACCTCATTTTCAGTTGCCACAATCGCAGCCCATGATGTCTCAGAGTATGATGCCAAGCTAAAATGGTGAAATGATATCCAGCATGGCAAAAGTTCAATAGTTTCTTAAACATTTTATGGTAGATGAATTTGGCATGTTTCCACAGAAAATGGATATCTACAGATTTATGCTTCATACATCACCCAGATAAACAACATTTAAGAAGACCATGCAAATGCACATTTTGCTTCTTGTTTCCAATGCAATCATTCCATAGTGCAAATGGCTAAAAGCAATCAAACTTAGCATGTTCTATTTAGTAATGGTGCCTAGGATATAGGTTATGTTTAATAAAACCAGAGGATTAAGTCTACACCAAAGACAAAATTGCTGAAACAGAGAACTTTGGCCATGCAGAACAACACAATCATTTCTGCACTACCTAATTCTTTCATGTAAAGGAGTAAAATCATTTCTGCACTACCTACAGTTCCGCCCACTATATACACAAAATCAAAGTAGATGATAAATATGAGATCAGTTTGATCTTACTGTATCACCATCTTCAACGTACCACCGGAGCCTGTCAACTACCTGGAAAAGAAATTGAGCATTTTATCAGCAGGTATTTATGTTCAAACAAAAGGAAAGAGCACATATAGCTAACTATTCCATAAAAACAGAAAATTGATAAGTTGATGGGAGCAAGAATGGTTCATTATACTGCTAATTGTAAGAAAATATTAAAATGCAAAAACAAACGAAGATGCAAAAAGTGTGGAGTACTTTCATGTATGCACAAACACATAAACAATCATACTGCGGCTTTTGTTTTCCTTTTCCAGAAAGATGAATTATACACATAGGTCTCTAGTTAAGATCTCAAATAATAGAAGGTCCAAAAAGCTTGGCTGCTGTATATGAAACATCTGAAAAAAGTATTAATTATGCTGAACCTTAACAATCAACAGTATGAAATCCAATAAAGTAAGCATTGCTTACAGCAATTAGAACGCAACATCCAAGTCAAAACATGATAGGATAGAAGCACATCATGCTGTGCTTGCTGTCCCAAAATCTCCATGAAGGAAACCCTTTCCACTACACATATACCCAATAAGTAAGAGAAGATTAATAAAACGGCAATGTAAGACGACCATCCAAAAGTCCCAATATTCGTTCTCTCTATGGGTAATAATATTTATGGCATTATAATATCCAGAGGTGCAAAACTTGGCCAACATGAGTTCTTCCTCTCACCCTTCTTCAAAGTTGCTGTTTCCAACAAGTATCCCATAAAAGTACCCTTGCTGTATCATATCAAACTGAGTTCTTAAAGTAAAATGATAAGTTGCTTTGAAATATGCAGTAATTTTTGTTATAAGATTAACAAAAAATTCTTTAACTATTTGCAGGTTGATCTCAAGAACAGAGATGTGAATGAAGAAAGCTACCCAATGACACCATTGGAAAATTGTGCCAAAACGTAAACACTGAACTTAGGCATTGAAAGTCCAGAGTTCCAAGAGTGGTACTGGCATAATCCTTTCACAAAGAGTTAAATTTATTTTCACCTTAGATTCAGACAAAATGACGAGATAAATGCTCAAGTTTAGACAAACTACTAACAGGCCTTTTGCAATGACATAGCCAAAGCAGTTAAAGGCCTAAAATTTTAAGTCCACATTAGTCATGTACGAATTACGACAATAACAACATGCTTAAATAAATCTCCCTGAAATGCCCATACAGTACTTTAAAGGACATTATTGCTCTTCACATAACATTTAAGTATCCCAAGTACCTTTTCCTTCCACCAATATTTCAAATTCCACATCTAAATAGATCCACCATAATTACTAAAGCCATCACTTTGACAACACCTACCAGTACCTACAATCATCACTCCAAGGCAAACTGCCTAACAGTACAAACGTACAACACAAAAGACAAGGACAATAAAGTTCTCTGCCTGTATATCATATTAATTATTCATACATGGTCTACATCCATTGCTGTTCATCTCTTTTCTATTTCTGGTGTATGTATAATGTATCTTTTGAATGTGCATCATGTGTTTCTGTCGGCCAGCTTTCATGGCTGTGTATATCAAGGAGAACAAGGAGTAGAAGGGAAGAAAAAGCGGAGGTGGGTAGTTGGAGAGAGATATATGGCACATCCTGGGGTAGGGAAAGGAAACAAGATTGAGGTAGGGAAAGACGAATGAAGCTGTGCAATGTGTGGCACATGAGGAAGCTTGGTGGGGAAGGGGATAGACTTTTTCTCCTACAATTTTTTGGCTTTTCATCTCATAATTACTTCCTTTTCTTAATCAATTGGGAATATGATTACTTTCCAACAAGTTTTGACAATTTCATGTCAAATGATTAAACAGTACAGTCATGAGAATTCTATTCTAACTATTTTCTAAGAGATAAATTTGATTTACCTAAACTTCAGGGTCTAACTTATAATATGACCAAACCTCATCAGTGAAATGTAATTGGTCTTTCAAAATATTCTAAGTTAAGAAGAGAACTACTATAATAAAGCCCAAACTTTTTTCTCCAACAACATTGAGGCCTTTTTAATTTCTAAATTCGGCTAGTAAGCTTATACTTTCTTCTCATTTTCATAGTTTTCGGCTAGTTTTCTCATTTTATAGTTTTCTTCTCATTTTCATAGTTTTCATAAGTGTGAAGTTTCTGATTACAAGTACAGAATATGAACGAGTACATGCAATAATCAGACAAATAAAACAATCTTCTCTCACACATCACAATTCGAAGACATGCATCTGATTAACTTTTCTATGTCCTATCCACTTGTCATTCAGGAAAGAACTTCAAAAGCCTCAAGTCAGAGTTAGAAAGGCGTCCTAATTGTTATTGCATTTCAAGAGTAAGCAACAAAGATGTCCTAATACAAAGGGACAAAATTTATCTTGCCTCCTTCAGCTTATCCACTTTGGTGAAGTGACGACCAAATGAAGTGTAGCGCTTAGAATGGAGAAAAGGAGCTAGAGAAACCTTCAGCTTCCGCTGCATAATTTGAACAAAACATGCATTTAGTGTTTTTACCTCTTAGTCAAATAGCTGTGAAACTATGCAAGAAATTACAAATCATGAAGGAATATTGAAGAGTTTCTCATAATCTTATAGGAGTATATCATCACTCAAACATGTCACTCAACCTGAATGGTATGTAGTTTGAGTATACCAAAATTTGAAAATTACAATGTGACTTCTACAACTGGAAAATTATGACTGGCATGTGAAATTATTTACCATCTCAATCTCATATATTTACCCATAAAACATGAACAAAAGCATATAAGTTCCAACATAAGCACTCAAATGTTCTCAACCCTTTGCTCTATGATTTTCACTTAATTGTTTTCAGCAATAAAAAAGTGCTGTCTTCAGCTCAACTTTCTGTTACTGTTTGTTTACTTTGCAGGCAACAATCGACGGCTTGATTAATCCAGTATTATCCCTTTTCTGATGGAATCTCTCACAAGGGATGACTAGTCCCACTAGAACGTGTTATCCCACATGTGTAGGATAAAATTACACCATCCAGGGGCACAAGGAAATTTTTTGAAGGACGGCAATATGAAGCCTGACACGTAATTTTTTTCTACCTGGCCCTCAATAAGGACATTTGTAAGTTTCTTTTGGTTCTCTCTCGGCAATATCTTATCAATTATGTAGAGCAAACAAAAAAGCCGAATCACGGCCTTAAAATGGGTTAAGAGCCTAGGAGTCCTTCTGAGATGACTCATTTGTCAGTGTAGTCTGTGAACTCAAGCAACCTAATTGTGCAGAATTGAAGCTGCAGTCATTGGCTAATGGACTCTTTGCATATTGTGTTCCATCAATGGCTTATGAACTGCCTGAATAAAAGCTTTGACACTGTTAATATTCCCAATGGTTCACCTGATAATGTTCCAAATCAACTTGTCAGCACGTGAACAAACGTTTGAGAATAGGTCAAGAGGGACAAACATGATGTAGTTTTCCTGACCAAAACTACTTGCAATTATCTTGGTAAATCATAATGTTTCAATAAAGCACTTACAATTCCCAAAAACCAAGGGATACTAAGTATGAATCTAAATATCAATAAATTGCTCTGATGTTAATAATGGCCAAATGAAGCAGAAAGAAATTTCCCCCTTCAAACTCTGCATACAGCAAATTGGAAGATGCTAAAGTTGCAGATGATGATCATAATGGTTTTTCAAGAACTATAGCCTTGTTCCTAGAGTAAAATGTTTAGTTCCTATTTCCATACAAAAAATGCATTAGGACAAAGGAAAGTCAAATTTATAAGTCTTTCAGTTGTGAACAGTGGCATGGCCACAAGGTCTTTCCACTGGGTGCTAAACTAATATGTTGTAGTAGTACAATATTTTAATGTACTAGTAGTTTTCTCTCTTCTCGCCTTCCTTCTCCCCACCCCTCTTCTTGGAAAGGACAAATCTTAAGTTAAGAAATAAAGGATCCCAAGCTGTCAAGCCGAAATAAGAATACTATATTGTGTGGCAACTAAGAACCGAGTTTTCCTCTGGAAGATAAAACTTTATTGAAATGCTATGTTGGATCAAGTATTTAAAGTCAGCAGTAGGAACACTTATACAATGTAAATGAGGTAAATGAGGCTATATAGAAAAGGCAAAGATTTAAAATGAATTGCTGCAAAAAATTTGGTGAACAATTTATGCTGTGTCTATGCATATAATCATATTTAGGCCTAGTTTGGGAGTTTAGGAGAGAGGAGAAGAGAATAGAAACCTTAAATTATGAGAGAAAACAAGGGAGAAATTCTAATATTGTTTGGGAGTCAAGGAAAGAAGTGGAATGGTATTAGATATATAAGTCAAATAAAAATTTGTATCACATCAAATTTAAGGATAAAATCACAATTTTAAAAAGATTTATTAGTTTCCAGCAACTCTCTCCCCTTCTCTTCCCAATTTTGACGGAAAATTCTTTCTAATTGTACAACAACTACAGATCCTCCCAAATCAGTTTGTTTCTCTTTAAGAAACTCCCAAGCAGTTGAAACTTTAACTTTCTCTCACTTTCTTTTCTTTTCTTCTCAAATCTCCAACTCCCAAATTTAGTCTTGAGGATTAGGCAGTGGCCGCAAGCTACACAAAAACATTCAGGGTCTCATATTATCTATGTAAAAGGCTCCAACAGGGTCAGTGGCAACAATTGGCCCATTGTACGTCATTTCCTGACCATAAGGGATCACATTCATGGTACAAGGAAAATTTTGCTTAAACCCAAAAGGTTAGCATATGGGTAACTGCATTATGAAGGCAAAATAACTAAAGAATGTAAAAGATACTTCACAAGTACTACATACGAGTGTTCCAAAGATCATATCAACTACTTGGTAAAACTTAAGAGTGGTGAACTTAAGTCATTATGAACTTAAGTCATTAAGTGGAAGAATAAATAGAATTGACATTAGGTTAATATTGAAATTGTGAACTTTGAACCATCAGGACTTGCAATTAAAATTTCCGCAGGTCTTGTGTGTGAATTGGTACATGTAAAAATGGAACTTTGATGATTTGACTGAGGCTACATTGATTGCAGGATATTGAAACATTATTCCAATGTGGATTGGGTCTAAACTCTATAAATCTAACTGAAGTTAACTACAATGCATCGAACCAAAAGTAGTCTTGCTTAGGGAGTTTAATCTATTGCCGAGAAATCTATAGGATGCCATCTTCAGCAACAGGGCATGACATTTATTCTACAATGATTTCGTAGCATTAACCTTTTGCAGATTTGAGTAACTATATTCTCAGATATCCTTTGTTGCTACCAGGCTACTGCTAGTGAATCATAAGTAGAACTAGAATTCCTTGTTTCCTGCTCCTTTACTTCTTGTTCTTGCAATTATTGAATTCAGATGCCACTCTCAACATGCATAACCTGCTGCATGAATATTGGCACTAGAACTTAAAGTTTGACCACCATGTTCTCTGAAGGAGAGAGATGCAATGATCCTAGAACAAAAGGATTTAAGCCAATTAAGAGAGAGGGGAAAAAAAGAAGGTATTTTACTTGATTCCTGAGTCCGGTGGGCTCTTTTTTAATAGTCAAGTTGTTGAAATTTCCCAGTAAAAGCTGGTTTGAGAGATCAAGGACAATTTGCAGCAAAATCCAAAATATTGCATGCAATATCACTTTGAAGCTGCTACCTGATGAGTTCGTCTATTTTGAGACACCAAAAGATTCTCAAAGGAAAACTCTTAACTAGAAGATGTCAACTAATGGACTTGAGAATGATTGTTCTCCAACAAAGGGATTTTTCTTCACAGCTTCTCCTCCTTCAAAACTTGTTGGACAAAATTATAATATTTACTTGTCTCAAATGTTTTGAAAAAGTCAAAAGCTTTCTCATGCGCACTGTACTGGCTGGGATTCAGAATCAGCTTTTTTCCAGTTGAGAACACCTTATATTTATAACAGCTTTTAGCTTAAAGCAGAGCTAAAATCACAGGATATTTAAGCCCACTTCACAACAGAGATATAATCTCGAGAATATGAGGATAAAAAATAAGAAAAAGAAAAACACTACACACACACAGAGAGTTCTAGATAAGCTTATCTGGCAGGAAAAATAAAGCTGAAAGTAAATGTAGTGCAGGTAGGTAAAGTATTGAGAAGTAGAGGATCTTAAATACATTTAAGATAACTTGAAAAGGACAGATATGCTTTGTTACTGCAGAAATTGATTTAGCAATTCCAGCAACTATTTTGAAAGGTTAGAAGTCAATAACTCATTCGATTTGAAGACAAGTCAAATCAGCTAGCTGTCCTGCCCTGTTATTCAGCCACAAGAATCACTCAAAAGAGTGGTTAAATCTCATGTTGAAAAGCTCAAGATCAAGTTTGACCAAGGGAGAATGATGCAGAGTGCTGAAACCTCACTAGAGTGTCTATGGGGGCCAAATTATTTAACTATAAAGCCTGAGAATACGTCAGGCCATTCATCCAATTTGACTACTAGAAACTTAGTTCAAGTAAGGGTCTGCGTATATGTCTAGGATCTTAGAGTTTAATTAATTCATAGATAAGTCATTCCAATTTGTGGCCAATCTAATGTCAACCTGCCTATAACAGGATATGATGAGCTTGTTATAAGCTGATTTTACCAAAAGAATATTCAGCTCACAGAGCTTTGATGTCAAACATGATCCCAAGGAATCATTCCTTATTTTTTTAGACACCCTCCAGTTTATTTTGTCATTTTCAATCCATTATCTTCTGAAACACTTCTACAGTTTTTGCTCAGAATGAAGCTAGTAAAAACATCAAGGTAAGCCATTATAATGAACTTGTTATATTCAGTGATGTATAAAGTTTCTTAAGGAAATGGGTCTGCTGATAAAAAATTGCTTCCCTGGTACATATTTAGACTTTAAATTTTCAAGTACATACCCTCCATTTGACTAACTGATGAAGAATTTCCGGTTCACAGACTGCTTTTGCTTCCTCTATGGTGCCCCCATCTTCTAGTTTCTTCAATGCAGTGCGAACAGCCTGAGAAGGATTATCAGTTGAGGAAACAAGGCCTTCAATCCAGTTTCTTATTAAATTATTGTTGTCAGCAATAGATGTAAGCTAAGACAGTACCTTTACAGTGCGCTCTACCTTTCCCATGGTCATGCTCTTGTCATCCATGGATTTTGAGTATACATCCATGCTTTTGTTTTTTTTCTGCTTTAAAAATTCTTCTTGATTAAATGATGCAGTGGACCTTTTGATTAATGCAAGTACTCTGCAAAGTGGTAAGTTGTACTTAAACTAATAAATTTCATAAAGAGGTATAATGCAATAGAATACTCTTTTGATGGTGAAAGAAAGGAAAGGCATTAAGATTGCAGCTTCTATAATAGGCAAAAAGAAGACCAAGACAATTACCTCTTTTCTGCTTCTGCATTTCCTGACGGCTCAATCCTTTGTGCCTTGTTTGTAGCAGTTGTCGCTGTTTGCCTGCTGTCAATATTGCCGCTCGATACATTCTTAAACTTCAATTGATCATCTTTTACATGTGACTTACCTTTATCCGCTATGGATTGCCTGTATTTGTCCCTGACGGGCATCCAATTATCCTTGGAAGAGTTTGGAGAGGATCCAATTTTTCCTACCAGGACTTGTTTGCGAACTCCTTTCTCAACATTTTCAACAAATTTACCAACTTTAAAGTTGCTATGAATTCCCTTTAACTGATAATTCATTTTTGCTACAGGTTTTTCTTCAAGAGACCCAAGAACCTTACTTCTCCTTCCAGACACAACCTGCACTTGAGCAGGTAGCGAGCCTGAAGTATGCTGCGGCTTCTTTGTATCAACATCAGGAAAGACTAGATGGTTTCTTTTTGGAGTTCCAATTTTAGGAATTATATTATGGTCCCTAGACAAAGAAGTGCTTGGCAGTTTACAAGTGAATCACTAAATGAGCAAAAACTCAAGCAGTAAGTTCAAAGAAACTTACATGCAATAAATCAAGACACGATTGTGCAAAAGATTTTCCCAAGCCCGTTGATAAATCTTTCTTTCTTTGTCACTTTCAAACATTATAGTCCTGACAAGAATATTTGCATAAAGAAAAAGTTACCATTATCTGAAACTGAAGTCTTCTGGGCAAATTCACAAACAGCATTAATGGAAACCTCAAATAGGAAAATTAAATTTGGAAACCTGGGCAAGCATTTACGGTGGTATGCCTTTGGGCAGCGTCTGCAAATTGCAAACTGCAATTCATAGACCTTTTTATCTTCAACTTGCTTACATTCAAAACATTTATGTACAGGGCAGGTAAATGAATCTCCTTCAGCAATTTTACTGCAAAGTTCTTCTGCTTTTGTAACATCAGATGGATGAAGGAGCTTTGAAACACACTTCGGATGATAAAAGTGCCCGCAAGTTGCAGAAACACAAGGGAAGACCTTGAAAAGATGAGATAAATTGGTTAAAGGCTTCAAGCTAAATGCTTCAGCAAGTCAAAGGAAGATAAAGAAATAGAAGAATTTAGAAACATATTCACAATCCAACAGAATAAGGACCGAAACTAAATGCAGGTCAACCACAGAATTCATTCTGGAAAGAGAATATTCAAGAGCAACTAATCTGTTCACCTTTCAATTTCCATTACCATAGAAATTGTAAACTTCACACTAAAATCTGAGCTGTGTATTCTTCTGAATCATGATGCTGGACTTTCTAGCCACACAAGAATTGAGGGCTTCCCTCTATCTAGTGCAAATTACTATTATTACATAACAATGCTTCATGTTTGGTGATTGTTATACATCTCTTGCAAATGTAAACGCCAAGCACTCATCATGTCTTGAGTAAACGCCAAACTGAAGATGAGAACTTAAGGAGATGAGAGGATCATCGATGTGCAGCCTAGTCCCCTGATGTTTCAATTTCATCAATCTATCTCCACAACGTTTCAAAAATTTTTCTTTTTAATACAACCTATCAATCTAATTTTTAGTCTTACATGTATTTGTCCTCAAGAGAATACAACCTTACCAAATTCCCTTCCCCTCCAAGCCCGTACCCTTGCAGCCTATTACAATCCCCTCAACACTCACCTCCCAAATCCAGTAGCCATCTCCTTCAGGCCAACTACAAGCTGCAGTCATGACAAACCAATCCTCTTTTTACCCACTGCCACCCCCCACCTCTTCTAAATGCACAGTGACCACCCCCAAACACCTCGCAGATCCATCCACATCCCCCTTATCCAGGCAGCCTCCTTCCTCCCAGCACCATTCAACTGCCAGACTGCTGTCCCCACTCCCCCCAAGGCAGCCTCTTTCCTCCCAGAACCATTCAACCACCAGATGTCTCCACTCCCCGCTTTCTTTGCAGTATCTTTTGTCCTTTCTATTTAACTCTCCTAGCCTACTTCTAACCACTTCTTACAGCAGCAATACCCTCGTTTCCACTCCTCATAACCCCTACGTTGCATCTTCCAGTGATACCCACTTTCATGCCACCCCATGTTTACCAAAGGGTGTGCAGATTTTTGTTTGCCTGTATTAGGTGATCCAGAGAGACATAGGAGAGAAAATGCTGAAAAATTAGAAAATTTAGTGGGTAAATAGATGCAATTGACTCATTGACTCTATATCAGAGTCAAATATACCCTGCAGAAGGGCGCTACTAGTGTAATAAGACAACTGTTGCTTTTACAAAACGAGCTAGTCTAATTGAGGAAGTTGAAATTAACTACCATAAGATACCACCAAAAGTTACTGAACACGTAGCAGCAGGTTGTTTGCACTTGTGCAGCTAGAATAATTCATGACAGATTACTTATTCATCCAAGCAAAAGCATCATTTTAGGCCCCAATTAGAATATCCAAACAAATTTGACTGCATTATCAAGTGCTCTCCAACAATGTCGTAGTCATATTGGAGGCATGTACTTATTCTCCAATAATGCCAGATTACTTACAGACATGTACGCTATCTTTACAACTCGATGGACGTAGGCCACAACTATAATATTCCAACAAATTTGAATGCATTATCAAGAAGCCCTCCAGTTATGCTGTAATCATATGTAATCTAGTAATCATATGTAAGATTCTCACCTCAGCCCCAGAAGATTTGTTGGAAGAACCCAATGAGCCACAAGCAAAGCATTGATGCTGCTGATACTGGCAATTCTTGCAAAGGAAAATCTGAATTGCCTGTTGGAAAAAAGGAATTCACAATACAAAAATTCTGAGTTAGCTAGTTCCAAACAAGTGCCAGGGAACTATTTACAACAGCACAAAAATGAGGCTATGAGCTTAAAAGTGCTCCTACTTCTGCTTGTTTGTGACTATAGCCAAGAGATTCACAAAATGAATGAGCTCCAGATTCTTTGGTAGGATGAAAGGATCTTATGCATCTTCCTTCACAACTGCAATGTGTGTAACGCAAAATGACATGATAAAAAGTCAGAAACAGCTCTGGTAAAAGCATACAAGCTAAAAGGGAAGAATAACAACATTAAATTAACCCCGGTATGATGTCAGGCATGTGAAGAGAAAACTTGTGGATTACATAGTGAATGAAAACATAAAGGTTTTACCCAGTTATTTATAGTGTACACTGTCCGCCAACAGTGAGTACAATATTAGAAGGAAGAAAGAGACATGCTTAATCATAATAAATCCAATGGCAGGTCAGCATGTTGACCAAGGAAAAGGAAAAGGATGATTGGGTAGGATCATGGTGAATATCCATTTAACAAAGTTGCAGGACTAGCAAACTGCTAAATTGTGTATCCAACGCATTTCTACAAGAATCACCTTAGTTCTTTCCCCTTCCATTACTGGCAGAAAAGAACCAGAATATGACATCCTTTAATCATTTTGATTATCAATCTCCTAATAGGATTAAATGACAAAGAGACTAGGAAAATCTTGCATACCACAAAATTTCACCACCATCATCACAGTATGCACAGACAGAATCAAAAAGTTGCTTCCTGTCTTCATCACCATCATCATCCTCAACATCAATATCATCATCACAATCATCAATAACAAACTTGAGATTCTTTAAAGCTTGAGTGTCCTGCAACGTAAAGCAAGTAAGTTGTAGGTGTAGAGAAATCTAATGAGCACCAAATGAGGGAAAAGGAGGATATAGGTAGCACAGACCTCCTTGGCAGCTTCTCTCTTATCATGCATCTTGGAAATAAAAGTTGCCATATACTGTCAGAAAAATTGTAAAATTTAGCAGCAAAAAAGCAGACAATTTTGGGAAACACTTAGAATACCTTCGCACATTTGTTGAGTATCAATAATCTGACAGTATTTAACCACAACCATCACAATAATGCAGCGGTATAAATGCACACAATTGAATGTAGAATTTGATGAGTCAGGAATTACAGTTTATAGCTCAAAATGGAGGGGGAAAAAGATGGCAAACATCAAGATGAGGGTTACATGTTAACTTGTGCAATTCAGGAACAAAGTATCACTATCCTAAAATGGTTCTCTGTGGCAATCTCTTCGGGTTTCTGGTGTATCATAGGAAAGAATTTTAGTTCATTGATATCCAGAGCAACCATTGCATGTTCTGATGTCCCATTACAGCAATAGGATGTCACTGCATAGGAATGCTGATTATGAGAGGCCATCTGAAGTGTCACTCAGAGAACCAGGAATATGTCAGCAAAGTAGATCGGGCAGATGTATTTTTGGTACAGCGATGGTTTCCAGCTAATGTAGTTTACTACTACCTCCATTTCAAAATGGACAGTCTACTTCATTAATCTAATGTAAGTACATAGAACGGTAGTAAGATGTGTTACCAAGAAACGCTTTCTTGGTTAAGGATCAAGATAACAGATATCGCACTTTCTTAATACATATAATGCTGAAGGGAAGGATTTGGTGTGATGTTGACTTTAATTTAATCTTTGCAAAAGACATTATTGTCCATATGCTTAATGCTATTGTGACTCAATCACTACTAAAAACTCAAAAAGATTGACATCATTATGGAAAACTCAAGTCTAAGAAATGAAAGTAAAGCATGCATTGGATACTGAGGGAAGGAACAACATGGCAGAAAGCGAGTCAACAGGTGATTACAATACTTATAACTGCTGATAATTTTCCAGCAATTCACCTTGGCTACAATGTATTCCTTTCAATATATATATATATTTTTAAATACTTTCCGTAAAGGCGCAACTTCTTACCAATAGAAAGGGCTTATAGAAAGGAAACAAAAAGTATAGTGGCAAGGTTTATTTGTCTACCAACTAGATAGTCAAGTACAATTTGACTATTTAGATGTTTTAGTAACTGGTGCTACTTAGGAAGCACTGTGACTTTTGGTCCAAAGTTACATATAAAAGCAGTTGATCAACAAAGTGATAATAGTGGTCAATTCTAGAAGTGTAATTTACCAATTACTCATGCAAGTAAACTGGTTATGCAAAAAACACAGCAGCAAATCTATTACAATCTGATAAATGACAATGAGAGTGAGGTTCTCAAATTGAATAGATAGCATTGTTAATCTTGGTTGAAGTCAGAGAAGATGAGTAAAAACCAATTGATGGATAAGACGGATCCATAAACTGGTGTATTCAGAGTAATGATAATATAACTAACCTCAGATTTTGCAAGATCTTTATCCCTCAATGCAGCTTCATTGATCAATGGCATGTGACCCAATAGATCATTCTCAGATGGCAGAATCTCAAATGTACTACATTACATGATTTAGTGAGCAAAAGAAACAAACAAAACTAACCAACAAGATTAGAAAGGAAATGTAAAATTACGCATGCCTGAAGGTTTTCAGTATCTGATTCCACGGGGCATCTTGAGATCCACTTGGATTTTTTTTAACAAAGTGGAGAAAGTGAATTGTAATCAGTATTGTTTTAATCGTCTCTTCATAACTCTTTCTTGGTCGATAAAGTTTTACCCACAGTTTCTCCTTAGAAAGCACATATACTTCAGGCATGACATAAGAAATATCAAATTTCCATGCAATGACTTTCTTATATATTTGCTGAAGACCATCATCAGAAGTCCCACATA